ACGGAAGTCACATACGCAAACTTCGCTTATCGTCCAAGACACAAAGTTACTTTTGCACCCAAAGTCCATAAAATATTTTTTATACAGCTGCAGCAGATCGAGCCACAGGATAGAGCTTCAGCTGGCACATACCTACACGTAAGAGCAGAGCTCCACATCCTCGAGGGTTGTTGGCGTTGGACTTGGCGAATGCCAAATTGTTTACACAAGTCATAAGCATTTTTCAGCGTGCCCTGGCCACATTTACTTGGACGTCTGTTTGCCAGCGCTAAAGCGTTGCGCATTTGCATAAACCTAAACCTAGCCAGCTACCAGGATAACCCATTATGCTCACACAAAGCGAAACAGAAAGAGGGAAAGGGAGTGAGAGAGGGGGCGGGTGAGTGTGAGACAAGTTTTGACAACTGCAATAATCATAACTGCAGCGCTCGACATTGATTTCTAATGCGAAGATTGTGGCATAAAGATTCGCGTGGCCAGCGCCGGGCGCCATTAATGGCTTTGTCTTACAAATCCAAGTCGTTCCAAGTGCTGCTCTAGCATTTCCACTTGATTTGAATTCGCCAACGAGCCCATAAACCAACTAAAAGTTTCAGCTACCCTTACCCCCGCCATCCCCCAACAAGAGAAAAGAATACGCCGTAACTGAAGCGCTTTAGTTTTACGGCCCGCACAGGGCACAGTGGGTCATCAAACGAAATGCTGAGCCATGATTGAAATTGATATGGGCTCAAAAGGTGCTGCTGCGCCTACAACCACCACTGCACCACTCACAAATTGCGCTGCGAGTGATGTATGCCCCAGTTTTGTGTGTTTAGGTGTACAATGTTTGCACTTAGTCGAATGACTTGAATAACTTGAATAAATAGCGGGGCTCGAATATCAGGTTGAAGAGGCAGTTCCAGAAATCAATATCAATATCAATTCGACGGGCTTTGATTGCATTTGTTTTCAACAATAGATAAATGGAAATGGGATTTTTTAATTTTTTATATATATACATATATATCGATGTATAATTGATTATTTCATTTCATTAATTCAAGATGTCCTCCATGCCAATTTAATCTGTCCATGAGTTAAGAATCAATAATAATATATTAAAAAAAATCCTTTTTAAATGTTTGAGCTATTTGGCGGAATACCCCATATAACATCTATATGATGCCTCACACTAAAGCTAGTAATATCTTGTTTAAATTGGAAATCAAATATTTTATTATAAAATTTTAAGCTTCATATGTGGTACAAATTTCTGTCTGCATTAAATTGTTCATCATAATCCTTTTTTTATATAAATTAATACTTTATTATAAAATTTTAATTTTTTTATGGAATTCCCCATATGACATATAATCGATGTCTAAGACTAATCTCTTTCTCCTTTCAATTTTTAAATAAGCAATAATTTTTCTAATTTCATTATACAATTTGAGCTTTATTATATCGTAATACTTAACTGCCGTTTAGTGGAATGCCCCATATGACGTCTAATCGATGTCTGAGAATAAAGTAAATAATCTCTGTGGTTTTTTTCGCATTTTAGGTTTTGGTTTAGGTTAAACGACAGTTTGTACCGTGACATGTTTGGCCGTCGCGTCGCGTCGTCGCTGTTGTCGCTTATTTCGCTCCACATTTTCGATTGCTTGCAGATGATTGATGACACTTAATTGATGAACATCGGGCGGGGACTTGATGAAGCTTAACAACAAAGGGCGACTTGGCGTAAACATTTGCACTTGGCCCAGACGAGCGCCGGGCTTTAAGTGCTGCTGGTCAACAGCGAGCGGCTTAAATCTGGCCAGCAAGCAGCAGCAATGGCAGCACCACGCACCACGGCGTTGGCAACCACGAGACATTTTCCAGGTCACAGGTGCTTTTGTTGTCCGCATTAGATTTGCCTCTGACATTTGCCCATACAAATTTCTGCATCTATATGTGTGTGTGTGTGTGTATGAGTGTGGGTTTTGGCCTTTTTGTTTGGCAAAAGTCTGCCCATTTGGCTGTAAAATTTATTTCATTTGACCGCCCTGCACTGCTCTCCGTGTCCGTGCCCTTCCTTGCCCTTGCCCGTGTCCACTACACGCGTGACGCTGACAGTTTTATGGCAAAGTTAAGCCGATATCAACGGCAGGACACATGCCGCTGCAGGATGACAACTGCTGCCAGCGCAGCCAACACCCAACCACACGCCCCCATAAAAGTGCAAAATTTAAAGCCCTTTCCGGTCATACCTTTGCACAACAAGTGGGTGGAGCACTCGGCGCCTTGCTTCATCTATGTGTGTGTGTGTGTGTGTGTGTGTGTGGGTGTGTGCGAGTATGTGAGTGTGTGTGCAGCTATTTTGTATACAAAAAGGTTTTTAGGTTTTCCACAAAGCCTTTCAATGAAATCATTCATGGTTAAAGCAGATAACAGATTGTCACATTCCTGTCCAAAGGTCCCTAACTGAGCGCGTCAATGGACTTTAATGGAGAACAATATTATAGAACATTTCGCCACTGGTAATTGAAAGCAACAAAGAAGACCAAACAGGGATTAGAAGCAAGTTTGTATACATAAATATGATATATACTAGATCAACCGAGAAGAGTTTATTTGAATGAGATTGCAGACAGAATAGGTTGATATAATATGATATAATATAATACAATATAATAATAATATAATAAATATAACTTAAAGCATATCAAATAAAATTAATCATGGCATTGATTTCATACATATTTATATTGTACAATAGCTTGATTAGATTTTGTACTCTATAAAAAGAGGCAGAATATATCTAGCTTGACAACTACAAGATCATTTTGTACACTATGAATTCCTCGTCTTCTTTGTCTTGTATCCCAAGTCAAAGTATTTATATATCCTATACTATACATCCAAGGAAAACCCTATCTTTACCTAAGACATTTGCGAACACATATCAAAAACCAATTATTATTCATAAATTTTAGTTCCTTTAAAAGACATATTAAACTTATACATAAATTTAAATAGTCGGTAGGTGAGGAAGCAGGTTTAGATTTCAATGCGTTGGTTTGAGCAGAAATCGTAAAACCATGCGTATTTCTCAAGCTTTGTTTGAACATATTCACCAAGGACGTAGATATGGATGGCCATGTACATGGAGTCTTCCCCCTCTGTCAACACCTTGTTCACGGCTGTTAGCTTGACATCTATTAGGATGGTGGCGTGCAGCATGTAGAGGACGCCGCAGGCCAGTGAGGCAACGGATTGATAGAGGAGAAATGCCGAGAAAGGATGAACGGGCCTATCCGTCTCATAGACACCATCCGCGGGCTCCTGGCCACTGTACATCAAATGAAAGTCACGTTCCGCATCCCACATTGTTAGGATGGAGATCGATATAAATCCTAGCGAGGCTAGGCAGGATTTAAAGATCTCCATGCCAATGGTGGGATTATGGCCCGAGCAGATATTGATGCTCTGGAAGAGCGTGCTCACCATGAACACGTAAAAGGTCACCAGGTAAACATAGAAAACGATATGCCTATCCCAGGATAACATATACAAATCTACAGCCATAAATCCCTTGATGTGATAAGCCAAACAAAACATATTAAAGATCGACTCCAGCGTGTAAAACAGAAATGACACTGGCCGCAATGTAGTCGTCGTTGAACCATCCGAAGAGTCCTGACCATAAATTACGGTGCTGACAATGACCATTTCTTAACGGTTACAGATAATTTACGAATACTTCTTCTGTTCTTTTACTCAAATTTTAATAAACAAAAAATAAACTATGTTTTTAAAATTTTGACATTGAGTTGACTAAATACTTTATATACACACACTCACACACACATTTGATACTCAAGCCCCCTAAGCGCAAGCTCTGAGCCCACAGTAGAAACTCCAAGAATATTTAGGACTAATACAGTTCTGCTCACGTGATGAAGGAGCCATGAAAAGGCATGATTGAGTTCTGAAAGAACAGTATGTTAGGTGTATCTATAAACGATACAGGTGTCTTAGTTACTTAAGTCAAATAAAATATGGAACTATGCTAAGTCATCTCTCCCACAATAGATCTTCGTCTGAGTTGACATGAGGCGTTTGACAAATCGAGTACGAAAATTTTAATAATATAAATATTAAATAAATATTTTAATCAATTTTGATTTGTCATCCATTAACTCTCTTCAGCCACAAAAACTGAAACG